AGCGCATGATAACGTACAACACAAGCCGTGACGATAACCGCCGGGCCGGGTACCGCCGAGTGCCGCCGAGCCGCGCTGGCGCCCGGTGAGCAGCTTTAAACAAACAATGCTGCTCGCTCGCCCGGCCCGGTGCTCACGACATTTCGTTGGGTGTGCAGCCTCAGGCAATACCGCCCTTTAAATCTGCGCTACTCGAGTCATGACTCTGGAACCTGTGTGCAACTCGCAGGTTGCACTGCTGCTGGACACCTTACGCTGACCCATGTGACAAGTAGAAGAGGTATGACACGACACTCTCCCGGGGTACAGTGCCACACTGTGCCGCCGGATAACAATGTGGGTCAGCCTAAGGTCCCTCAGCAGTGGCATTGGGACCTGAGTTGCACAGGTCCGGGGGTCTGCTGGCTGGAGGGCCACCCCACAGGTTCGCAGTGTATAGTTAGTGTTGTCCATTTTCCATTTGCGCCCGCGGTTTTGTCCGTCCGGCTGGGCCCGTGTCCTTGGACGCCCGCCACACCAAGCCACGCCCGGCTGGACACGGAGAGCGTGGCCGGGCATGAGATGAGGGGCATGACACTGCACCGTCACCCGCTCTGCGTCGTGGTCCGGGCCGGGCGGGGCGCAGTGGCGGCCGGGGGCGGCCGGACGAGAACTCTGAGCAATGAATTGCGATTACTTCCCACTTACTTCTCACTCCTTCACATGGCGCAGGTTGCCGCTCCTTGCCAGAGGGGGTGGGTGATCTCCGCCTTTTCTTTTTAAACGAACCAGTGTTGTCTTGAGCCTTGAGGGTTGTTTATATACCAGCCACATCACTGGCACAGGGGGAGCGAGTGGTAACTCTATTTCCCTGACCACGGGTTCGTTTCGCAGTTAACAATGATTGTTAACGTCTCTCTGGTTATGCTGTACCGGATGCAGGCGTGCGGACGGGTTGCATACTCGCAGGGGGCATAGGGCGCCTTATGTCGTTAGCGACGCGGTGGGCAAGCCCGCCTGCACGCCTAAATCCGGTACAGTACAGCTAAAATGAAATAAAATGAAGGCGCAAATCACCCATCCTGCATGCCCGAGCATGCCCTGCCCTCGCCATGCAGAAAAGGGAAATACCGGGCGTATCAGAGCACACACACCAACACACCAGTGTTGCGAGCTTGCCTACTCCCCCGCCCTGTGGCGCCATGGCCTTTGCGGCTCCATAAGGTATGCAGACCCGCTACTTTTAGCTTGCTCTGAGACGTAATCTTTTGCTTTGATCCGCCTAGGCCGTGGGTGGACGGCGCCCGCCCTGTCGCGAGAGTCTTTCTCTTGCGCGAGTTTGTTTTTGTCCCCGTGGACTTGCCGTGGACTGTCCGTGTCGATGGCTCCTGGAGGTCGAGGAAGCCCCTGGCTTGTTTACCCTGGGAAGTAGGGAGCCCCTTAGCGCATCGGTTGGGACTTGGGATTTTGAGAGGAAGAAGGGGAAGTTGACGGGGAGGAGGTGGAGGAGGGGCCTCGATACTGGTCCTGCCGTGCTGTAACGCTTGCGTAACGCCCTGGTGCGGCTGGGGCGCGGCCCCCAGGCCACGGGGTCCTCCTTCCTCCAAAGACACTCCCCGCCACAGCCACCTTCAGCCCCGGGATATGTCAAAACCGTCAAAACATTGACCTGTCTTGAAGTGACGGGGCGCGGCGGGGGCGGGGCGACGCCGGCCCCACACTCGGTAGGGTAGGAACTTCCGCGACGCGACTTTGTTTGGCGTCATTTTGCGGTCAATCTGCGAGACGGGCTCGAGGCGTGCTGACTGAGGGAGTAACGCGTGGTCGCCGCGCAGCTCCAGTTTGAGTGCGTCCTCTGGCCGTCAATCTTGTGGTATTTTGGGTCCGCGCCCGTTTTCGGGCGTGGAAAAATTTGGCCCGTTTCGTGCGCATGAGGATTGCTATTTTTTTTAAATCCATTTTTATCCTTCATCCGTATTGTTTTTCTCCTATTCGCTCGAGTGCACCAATTACAGTCGCGGAACGGGGAGATATAATTTGGCATTCGCAAAGACGAGCTTCGTCCAGCTTCTTTTATTAACTTAATATTGGGACGCGCGGCGCGGACGAGGTTCTTCTGTTCCATTTGGCGGCGCCTCCCCCGCCCACCCCGCGTTTGATTAAATCTCAGTACCTCAGCGGGGGGCCCGCCTCGCGGGATCAGTGAGGCTGGGCACGCCCGTGACGCGCCCGTGACGCGCCCGTGACGCGCCCGTGACACGCCCGTGACGCGCACGTGCCGACGGCGATGGCGTCGGCAGGTACGTGTCCTGCTCGGGGATACGCTTCGGCGTTTTTAAGAGACCAACAATTCGAAAGAGATTTCAACCTTAGGTTTATTTCAGAGCAAGGGGGGTCCTAAAAATGTGAGCTCGGTCGCAAACGAAAAGTTGAGCGAAATTTTCCATCGTAGTTCATGATGGGAATTCGGATGAAATTAATTAGGATAAAATTCCCAGATATTAAAATGTAAGTCCAACCTGTTTTGGCATCTTGTCTGTGTGACTTTTCTGGTCTAGGCAACTCATGAAGACAAGGTCAAATTTTCTAGGCGGTATTTCTGGACAAAGTTTTTGTCTACCTTTATGGGCAACTTGCCTGTACTACTTGTCTGTGGACCAGGGTGTAGTTGTTCCTTAAACTATACTGATGGTTTGGAGTTTGTCGCTGAAGTTTGACCTCAGCTAAAATTCTCCAATTCTCCTCGATGTTCCTGAATTTCGATTGTTGTTCCAAAACAAAATACACTTCAGGTCGGGCCTATTTTCCCTTGTTTAGTAGTGGATCGGTTGCGATGGCCAGTTCCTCCTCAGTAGTCTGCTGCTTTTCTTGGCGACGCGGAGCATGGCGCCTCCGCAGGTAGTTTGTTTACGTTATTTGTCCCCCAACGACATCCCCCCTTGCCGAGTGGCCCAGTGGCCCTCGCTGGGCTGGCATCGCCCTCGCCCTCCTTCAGTGAGTCGATGGTCTCGGCGCCAGCACCAGGGCTTCACAGAGGGCCCCGCCGTGTGGTAGGTCAGGACCCGAGGCGGCCAACCCCTCGGGGCGCCCGCGAGACCCGCGGCGAGACCACGGGACGTCGCGTTGTCAGTCAGTCGCACCGCAACCGTTTTAAAGACGCGCCGAAATAGGCTACTTGAAGTCTGCGGTCAGGTAAGCGACGGGGCCCTCCTTGTCCTCGCGGCCGGCCGGCACTACTAGAGCCGCACCACCTCACCTCGCTCCTGCCCGCGCACCGCGACCCCCCGCCACCCCGCCGCGGCTCCAGCCGCTCCAGCCACGCTGTGTACGGCGCCGTCTGCTGCTCCGGCTGGAAGAAAGCGGGGCGGGGCGGGGCGGGCTGAGGTGGGGTGGGGCACGGCGGGGCACCGGGACGCCAGCGCCAGGTTGGCTCGGTGGGCTCAGTGAGTCGGGACTCTTGGCGGCGCCTGGCAGCAGGGCCTCCGTGCGACCAAAGCGGATCCGAGCGGAGCGGTACAAGACTGTGCGACCGAGCGCGGTGGAGACCGGACGACAGTGTGTCAGTGGGCAGCCGGCGGCCGGGCTCAGCGACCATGTTCCAGCGCGCGGCTTACATCAACGGCTACGGCTGGAACAACGAGGTGAGGAGGACCAGCGGACGCCAGCGGCTGGCCAACTTCCAGGCTCCGAGCTGTACCCACACCAAGCGCGTGAACCTGTCTCCTCTGCAAATGTGGGATGCGTGTCCGAAAGCACAGCCGTAACTCTCTCGTCGTTGACACCCTGCCAAGCTGCGGCGTTATGGCACATAGTCTCGTGCTCGGCAGGCGTTTTTAATCGTTTCTCGATGTGTCACCCACCTAGATGTATGGGCTTTGCGCGCTCTGCACTCGCTGCGCTTGTAGTCGAGGGTGTTCCTTGCCAAGTCCGGGCCCGGGGCCAGCTGGGCTGGAGAGGGCCGGACCTCAGCCCCGCCGCGCGGCCGCCGCCGGGCACGCGAGGCCAGCGAGCGGCGCATGCACGCCGATGTACGCCTCCCTGCACCGCACGCCGCTTTGTATCCTGCACAGGTCGCCAGCCTTTGACCGCCACCACCGCCGCCGCGGCCGAGCGAGTCGCGGTGGGAACCGCTTTCTGCATGTCGCCATCGCCACGGGCTTCCGGCCGGTCTGACGCTGGACTGGGCATGCAGCCGCGCGCTCACCACCAGGGCTGTGGCGCCGACCTGCAGCCTGCAGCCGAGGGCTATTGACGCACACAGGATAACAACTAACTACAAGGGTTATCTTATGGAATATCGGGGGCTATAACGCCTGAAATTTGAGTCATTATACTATGTGTTGTCATGTGTTTGCAAAATTTCGGCTAATTTTGCACATAGGATTACGTGAGTGCTGAGCGCCTCGCCTGCAGCCGCGCAGTCGCGGTGCAGCTTGCGCGTGGAAGGAGAGCATGATGATTGACGTGAAAGGCGACACCCTCGCGGGCGGCGGGCGGCGGGCGGTGCCCCTGAGGGTGCCCCTGAGCGCGCTCTTAACGCAGCGACCACACCGCACCGCGTTACATAAAGCGCCCGCAAAAAGGCTCGCGCAGCGAAAGGAAAGGGTTTGCGCCGCGGCGGGGGCGGCCTTCGGGTGTGAAGGAGGCGGCAGGGGGCCGCGTAGGAGCCTGCGGACGTCTGCCTCTGGCTCTGATGCACTCGCCCTGTCCGCGCCTCCGGCTCCCCGCCGCGGTGCGCTGACTGACTGCGCCCGTGCATGAGGAAGGAAGCGCGCGGGTGTTTGGAAGGCCGCCTGCAGTTGAGCTGGTGCTAATGGATGGCAAGGCATTAACTGGCTGGTATGGTCTGTGCACCACAGCCACGGCGGCGGCGCGCTGGTGTTGGGTGGCTACATTAGTACACTGTGAAAATAATTGGCATTTTCATGGCAATATCAAGGCAACTTTGTTTGCTTTGCATGGGGCACTTTATGACTCTTATTTTCGCCGTGTTCACGTGCTCACCATTGGCGGCAGCGGGCGTGCGTCGATGCAATTGGCACTCCCTGGGGAGGGGAGGCGAGTGCACTCGTGTGACCTCCGCGGCTCCTTTTACGATCGCCCGCCCGGCCTCCGATAAAGTTTTACGGCGATATGGAAACTTATTATTTTTCATGGCGCAATAAGAAACCCTTCACTCGTTGCTTGTCTTTTCTATTTTTCTAGAGAAAACGTTTCAGAGATGGTTTTGCTTAGGCTGTC